GGTAGGGTGGGGGAGGGGGGTAGGTAGTGTCTGTGAAAGTAAAATTACGGGCGTTATGTTTTTTAATGTGAGAGCTTTACTCCGCATTAAAACCTCCTCTGATGCATGGATAATACTTCTTAAGTTTCTTTATCGTTAACAAGTAAACAGGGGCTAGACGAAACTAAGCTAGTCAACTGAAAAAAATAGAATATTTCTATATAAAGAAGCAATTTTAAACCCAGCTTGACGCGCTAATTACACTGATCTTTTGTTGTCGGTTTTCCAAAGGCATTCTAATTCTAAAAATAAACAAAACATATTTTTTTAATGCTGTTGATTGTATTAAAGCTGAAGGCAAAGAATAAACAATACCACGAAATAATCACTGCAAATTCATGGAAACCGTGCTGCATGATGCAATATGTTCATAAATTATGTTTCGTCTAGCTGATTTGAAAAAACAGAATTAAAACCCATTACTAATCATCCTATTTTTCACTATTTTTTCGCTCACATTCACCATCATATATAGCCACCAGGGCAATTAAATGACCACCCCCTCCCCGGGAACCGGTTGGATTTTGTGAATTGTAAATTTAAAGTCTATGACGAACTATCTTTTTTACCGTAGCCCTCTACTAGTATTATTATAAAAAGGATTTTTTCAAAAAAAAAATTCCTAAAACGCGATTGCCCGTAAAAAAACAAACGGTCCCTTAAAATAGTTTAAAGGCAAACAAAGGAAGAACAAACATGAGAACCATACGTTTATTATAGCTGTTTGATCGAGTTCTTCCTAGTTAAATGTGCTTGCGTGGCGACTGCAAACCCGGTTAAATCTTATGTCGCTAGGAACAAGCATGCAAGTCCAAGAAACTTGGTCTAGAAATTGCTGTCCAAGTCGACCTCCTTATCTTTGCGATTGCATGCTGTGCTCCACTGTGTTTCCGAAACAGACTCGTACCCAGTCGTCGTACATTTTTTTTCACGCTTTTTTTGCGCGCGGTCCTTCCCCTAATGACCGGGAACCCACTAAATCCTTCCCATCAACCACAGCGTAAGATCAACAAGACAAGAAAAGCGACTGGGTAGGAATCTGTTTCCAAGATCATTTGGTAAAGTTGTACAGGATTTCAATATTAAGCGAAATCGGTAGTTAAGGGTTGTTCAATTTGGCGCCAATGCCATCGTCATCAAAGTAAATAATTAAGGATAAAATTTCAACATCTAGGGTCTGCCAAACTTCAATCGACTGATGATTTTCAGAGGAAAAAGGAAAGTGTTCTAAGCCGGTACATTGTACGACACCTCCGGTAACCACAAAGCAGACTATCATAATAGATTAGTGTGACGTCATGGACGTCTCGCTGTGCAATCCTGAACTAAGTTAAAGTGCTTATAAGCCTTTACACAATATTTTCAGAATTGATTCTTTAAATAGTGAATAGTTGATAGTGAAAATAATTCGTCATTTGAATGTTGGGTCTTTGAGATACGAAGGTTTATACTTCCAATATGTTAATGACTATGACGTAACATAAGGGATTTGAGTTATTTTGTGGCAACTTTTAATATTGAACGCTGGACATTTTTTGAAAACAAATTTGTAAGAACCTTTACGCGAGTCACGAGTTAAAAGGGTGATGCTTTTAAAATACTGTATTCCAGAACGAGTGCAGTGTTGTATATTAAATGATCCCTTATGTTACGTC